GTAGCATTAAGGCCATTAAGACTTCCCTATAAACCTGTAAATCCAGTTCCTCATGCCAATTCCTACTCCTGATTATCACATTGTCTGTCTATGCCTCCTTGAAATTAATTCTGGTTTATCTATTAAATCAGTTCCAAATAATGGCACTCACTGAACTGTTTACTGTGCTATGCACAATTATGAACAATATGCACAATACTGCAAACCTATATTGGATGATAAGGTAAGAGTTGTTCTCAAAAAGAAGCTCATTTATTTCCCAGAAAAAAGAATTTGGTATTAATATATCAAGCGCATTACCTTTGTACTATATTAACTCATTGATAGAACAAGGGCCACTTATTAAAATAATACAAAAAACCCAACAATGTATTTACAAAAGTCTAAGAAATAGCCTTCTCTGCTGCAGTTACAACTGCTGCTCACAAACGTGAGCCTAACTGAGGCATAAAGCAGTCACGTGGCTGTCTAGCTGCATGAGGTACCACTACATAAAGGTGGGTGAGCAAAGGAATAGCTTCCCATCGAACCTGCAAGGGGGAGGCATTTGGATTAACATACAGCGGTTTGGGGAGCTATATATGCTATAATAAAAAGCTGTTTTAAAATGATACCAGATGTGGAAATAAACACATGCGTCTCAGTCCACGCACCACTGACTGTTCGAGGAGGAGAGAGACAGACAGCAACTTATCTCCCCCATGTCTCACAGCTGTGCAGCCAGGAGACCCGTTCAGAGCAAACCAAACCAAACCAAACCAAACCAAACCAAACCAAACCCTGTTTTTCATTAACAAGATCGAATTTTATTGCAATAAATACAATTTTTTAAATATCTGGACCAGAACGAAATCATTGTAGATAGCCTGGACAAAAAAAAAAAAAAGCACAAATTCAGTGTTTGCTGAAATTCTGTCTTTTTTTTTTTTTGCAGATTTAGAGAAAAGGCCTTATTATTCTTATTTTATACAAGGGAAAATACAGGTAGAGAAAGAACTCATTTCCCAGGACCCCTCAGCAGACCTGCAGCAGATACTAGAAAAGAACTAATATAACCTGAGTCCCAACTCAATGATTTATCTATGACTGAAACTTGTATTAGAAGATAATATTATTTGGCTGCAAAGCTAATACTAATAAACTAGGAAATGCCAAGATAGCTCTCTTAAGTCAAACCTTTTGTGGTCTGTATTGTAAGGCAGCATGCTCAGGAACACAGAATAAAGTTGTTTCTGTAGAGTTGACGTCTCAATCAGTGCACAACTCCAGACACTGTCAATGATAAGCAGCTATTGAATCACTTACTTTCTTTTCATTGTCAAATATGTGTTTCGTGTCTCATTTAGAGCACAATGTTCTAACCTTTCTCTGAAAACAGAATGAATAAATTATTTGTGGGATATTTTATGGAACTTACTGTGGTGGTATTTCACTGATGCAATAAAATGATTTTTCACTTTGAAACATCCCGGTTAGGTGAGAAGCTGGAATTATTTATATTTTCCAGATGGAAAATTGAATCACAAAGAATAATCACAAGTTATCACTAATTTGGGGGGGTTCAATTTCAGAAATGTAGTGCCTGATCCTTCAGAGTAATTATCGTAGTAAAAATTACATTTAAACTAGAAAAATGGAAGCCATCCTACAGAAAACCCTGATTTCTGGGGATTCTTTCTTCCAAAATGGAACGTAACCTTGAAGCTTGTTTTAGAAGTCAGTACTAAGACTCAGGACATTCCTGATACTGCTCTGTATTGTCAGTACATGATATCAGTACTGATCTGAGAGAAGGGAAAAATTCTTTGAGCTAGGCTGGGAATGAAAAGAATAGCTCTGCAGTTAAATGTCTGCAAAGAAGAGAGCCTAAAATAAGAGGACTTCTGGGGAATGAGGAGCCATAAGGCTAGTATTTCAGCGGGTACCCAACAGTAGCTCCAGTAGTCCATAAAGTACTGCCTGGTTTCCATCTGCATTTTCCAAATCAGTGCATTGCCATGCAACATGCTGATTTTGATGACATACTTTATTCTTTGACAGGTTCAAAGCCTGAATCTCAGTTTCAGCCACAATACTCAGTACTTCTACAAATCATGCTTGAGGCATGCAGAAAACACTGGGAAAAAAATAGCCATTTTTATAAAGCCTGTAAATAACTAGTCCAATACTATGCAGGAATTCTGTACCAGAGGCAGCAAAATCCACTATTGCATTGGGCTCTTCAGTTAATTTGGTAAAAAAGAGTCTCCCTTTCCACACCCCAGCACTGCACCTCACCTCTGACGCGCTGAGCCAAGACGGCTGGCGGCGAGGTGGGAGGCAGCGCGGAGAGACCTGGCAGGGAGGGGAGCAAGGGGATGCCCCTTCCCTCTGTGCCTCCATCCTCTGCTGGCACCGACCCTGGCTCCAGGCACGGGCAGTCACCATGCCGCAGGCACGGCATGCTCTGCACTACCTTGGTGAGCCATCTCTGGCACCGAGCCCTCAGTGGCGCCAAGGGGCTACGTGTTGGCCCTGGGTGAGGTGTGCAGGCTGCTGTGATTCAGAAGGGATGCTCATGGCATGTCATGCTGCAGTGCTGTAGCTTACAGACTATCGGGTCGCAGGCAGCAGACCCCCCTCTCCCACTGGGGCTATCCCTTTTTTCATGCTGAACCAACAGAGATAGATCAGTGCTCAGTACGCTTAAGACTGAAATTCAGATCTCTGTTCCAAACCAGATACAGCAGAAGCTTGACTCTGCATGTCCTACATCCCAAACGTGTGTTTTAATTACTGGGGTATGAGCTCCTTGGAGGGTAGAAGATGGGTGATGAAGGAATTTCCTCTTTACGATCAGGAATTCAATCTTGGATGCAAGAAATCATTCCTGTTAAAACTGATTGATTTACTGCCACAAAAAATTTTGGTCAAAACACTATTTCCTGTCCTGCTCCCTGCAAATTTAAATGGAAAATGCCCTATTGTGCTTTTAGAGAACTTCATGTGCCTTCCTGAAGTTTCTTGCTTCATACATTGTACAAGTTTCATAGCAAGCAAACCAGCAATTCACTGAGCAATTCCAACTCCCCACCACTAGTTTGTACATTTATCAAAACAAACTGAGGCACAGGACTGGTGGAAAAGTAGTCTGCAAACACATAACCAAAGACTGAATCACAGCATACATAACCTAAAGGAACTCAGAAGTTGCACAGTTAACCTTCTTACTATTACTTCCTAACCTTTATTTTGCACAACTTGAGTTCGTAATAATATTCTTTTAATAGCATTTTTTGTTGACTTATAGCAAATTCATCACACAAACAGAAAATAAAAAATCCACTATACGGTGTGATATTGCCACTCACCTCTGCTACTTGAGCCAACTAAGTACTCACAGCAGTGGTATGTTGTCAGCTTCTTTGTGAACCACTGCTAGAACAGGCCACCTACCAGCAAGCTACAATGCTATCTTCTGATTCGGACTCTATTTCTACCCTGAGGTACATTGCAGGCAAGCAAGGGAACAGGCTGTAACACTCCTTGTATTTTCTTTCCTTTGCCCTTGCACAAGGGTTTTCCCATCGCCTTACAAAAGCAGTTCCCTTTTCTGACTTCAGGCTGCTTTATCCTATCTCAGTTTTCCTCCCAACCCACTGCTACCACATCGTTTCCCCCCGACTTCCTTCCTGGCTGGTTTTTGTCCTCCCATGGTTTACCCCATGTCTGGAGCACAGACCCTGGAGGTAATTCACCAGTGGGTACTTCCCAGCAGTGGGAAGTCAAACTTTTTAAGACAAGAGAAGCTCATTCTAAGAAGGACAGCTATATTAGGCAAATGTTAAATACTCAGTCAAAGTACAGGTGTTATAAAACTGATCAAGAACTCATTTAGTAAGATGAATGAGACTCTTTTCCTGTTCCACAAATTTTACAAGATTTTAAGACACAATGCTGTGTTCAGGGGAAACCAAGCTCTCTCAAAGGCTACTAAGAGAAATCTGGAGCCTTGTAAAGACAGAGACCTGGCTGGAGCATTCACCTGCGATCTAGGACATTTGAGTTCAAGTTCCTCCCTTTTTGTATTTGAGCAGGGACTTGAACTTGGGTGTCCCGTATCTCAGCTAAGTGCCCTAACATGAGTACATAGACTCCGGGTAGGATTCATCTCGGCTACCTCCAGATGTCCCTACAGAGGGAATGCGCCAGCTGCGGCAGCAGAGTCTCGGATACAATACACCTCATGCTAGAGGAAAGGCTGAGGTCCCTCCACATGAGCTGAGACTCCAAAGTGACCACCTTTTCCTGTTTACTCTAAGGTCACCTTGGGATGACAAGCTCCAGTGTAGCTACCTGTACTGTAGAAGGTGACATTTAGTTACATCTTCCCAGCTAAGCTTGTTTTTCTTTCTGGCTAATAAATGTTTAATTACTTATACAACTGGACAAGTTTCAGCTAAAAAAGATTCATGTAAGATGACAGATATGTATGCTATGAACCTAGCTATATAGTTTTTTAAAAACGTCTCCCCTTTTCCATCCTTCATTTTTTGTACCAACCTCAGCATTAGTTTAAACTGATATTACATTCAGAAAATGTGTACTTCAGTAATTTTTTCCAGATCTAATATCAGTAGCTATCACTACTAGTAATCTTATCAAAAATAATGCATAATATCAATAATATCTGTATAATTTTAGGTATTCTGAAACCATCACTTCTATTTAACCAGAAGAACATCTCTTCAGATTTTATTTACGTTATGGATGGCTACTTCTCCCCACTGACGCAAACAGCAAAACACGAAAACTGAACATAAGCAGGACAAACCAAAATCAGCAGTATATGAAGTTTATCTGTTAGTGATTTTAAAATGATTTCTAGTGCCAGGATTTCTTAATTATGGGAATCGTGATTTTCTCATAGCAGAGAGAAGGCTATTTTTAGCTTACAGATATGAATTGAGAGTATTATACTTTACAGCCAATTCGTAGATAGCATCATTATAGGTACTTACCTAAGCTTGATCTTGTGTTAGAACGCTCTATTATCGCATGCTTACTGGGGTTGTTTAATACGGAGCGTTTGGCAAGCGAGATGTCTGCTGTGACTCGTGTAATTGATATACTGCAAAAATAAAATACAGTAAAATAGAACAGAATGTTATTGATCTTGCAGGGATGCAGGGAGAAAAAGAGACTCATTTAACACTAGAAGATGGCTAAGACTACAGGAAAGCACGTTCTCCTCAGCAGCACAGTATGCTTTGCACAATGTGAACAGAGAAGAAACTTTATCTAACTAATACTGTTACAAGAACTATTGATAAGACATCCCCCTTTCTGCACAGTACTGAAATGCAGTATGACCACTGACTGCAAAGCTACACGTGTCTGGGAGAGGGGAGGCAGGAGGAGGTCAGAGACGTGCTGCAGAAGATGGGACTTTCCTGGGGGTTCCAGGCTTGATGTGGTTAGACTTTGCACCAGTATCCCCAGTATGAATAGGCTGGTTTCTCCTTTCACTAATTTTGATTAATTTGTTGAAAGATACTGAAAGACAACTTGGCTTACCTTAACCATATGTGTAAGACATATAGCGATATGCAGAGTTAACAGGTGAAGGTAAGGCTTAGCAGGCAAACCAGTACAGCCATATAACTCTTATTTTTATTGTTCAGTTTACCAGCATATGTTTTTTAACAGAGTGCAAGGGTTACCTATAATTTTCTTAGAAAGATCCAGCAATATGCCGGCCACTCAAAAATGTGGACTGCAACACAGAGAAGCAAGCAAATGAAGACTCTGGGCTGAGTATCTGGCAGGCTCAGTTTTCTGTTTATGAGAAAAGATGAGCCAAGAAAGAAGTGGTTACTTCCAGTTGTTTGCACTGACCTGCTACATAACCTTCTGCATATTCTTCTTCCTGGAAAACAGTTAACTCTGTTTTGCTTTACAGGGTCAAAACGCACCCTTTGGATAAATTCCCTTTCAAACTCTCTGGTCTAATGAGGTTTAGGGGTCACATTTTTCCAGTGCTGAGAGTTAAATCAGACTGATGATATTCCCTTATTCTTCCTTTCAAAAATGTTTGATTTTACTTGCAATTTAAAAGGAGGAAATGGATTTGCTAAGAACAGGGAGGGCTCCTCTCTAGCAAGCACAGTCAGATGCTGCTCATCTGAAATGTAACCAAATAGGTCATTTCCCAATGAGCTCAACATGTGTATATATTTATCTAAAACCCTGTAAAATGTAACAAAGCCAGAAGTTAATACAGAAAAACAGAATTATTTACACAATACTGATTAGTAACATCGTTTTGGAAATTTAGGCATGATTTAACTTAAGCTAAAAACATAACCAAAGATTGTGATTTCTGGCCCAGCTCCTCACAGATAATGCCATTAGTCTTAAAATGAAATCCAACATGTAATCTGGGGTACTCATTAATTATCTTTATTTGCTAATTGATGAACACTACAAACTTTTACAGCTTTTTGGGTTTTTTGGGGGTTTTTTTTGTTTGGTTGGTTGGTTGGTTGGGTTTTTTGGGGTTTGTTTTGTTTTTTTTTCTTTCCTGGCAGTCTTCCTTCCTACATGCAATAGAAAATAATTTTTCACTTTTTCAAATGCAATTATGGTACACTGAATAAAGCTAGATTTATCAGTCTAAAAATGCTATTTTACATTTTAAGATCTTTTAACATCTTTTTAAGGTCATTTTAATGTCTTTTGAGATATGTAACACCAAAAAGAACAAGTCTGCTCTCAAAACAAAGGGTATGTATGTACATACAGGGAAACAATTGCAATGAGAGTGGGGACAGCTTGACAGCAGAGTGGCAGTGAAAGCACTAGCATGAATCTAAGAACCTCCCATACATATTTGTTGAGGACCTTGAGTACCAATTCAGATTGCTACTGAAGTCTGGGATGCTTCAAATCTCCTATTATAGATATCAATTTTATTGAGAGTATTTGTGGATTCACTCTGCCACAATTGGATCTAAACTGAAAATTAGATATGCCCTAAAATACTTTAAGACATAAAGATGCAACAACTTTTTTCTGCTTGCAACACTCACTATTTTGTTAACTTCCAATTCTGAAGGTACATATCTAAGATTTGACAACCCTGACTAATATAAAGAGGGACTACTAAGTGGTTAGGTCTCAACATCATCGTTCTGACTGAGAAAATCAAACCGCTTAAACCACAATGTCCAGTATTTTAAAGAGCTGAACCTACTGAAAGAAAACCTTAAGCTCACTCTTGAAAGTTTGACAGCACCAGGACAGATAGCATAGTGTTACTGCTCTGCCTACTTCCAAACTAAATAGAACATTCATTGAAGTTACAGCTATTATAACAAGACCTTCCCATTTTCTCAATTTTTCCCCCCAAAACATCAACCCACTAGCACATATTAATCTGGAGCCTGATCCAGTAGCAATATAATTATGTGTGGAGAATCCACCTGATGTCTCTGGTCCATGGGTCCATGATGTTTGAATTACAGAACATACCACTGCTTTTAGAGACGATTATCATTTGACATTCATACTACAGTAATGCCTGGAGGCTCAAATACAAATCAGATTGCCGAGTACGCTGTGGAGGACAGTCTGTAACAGCACTCGGATCAAAACCCAGTGAAGTGCAGCCTGTCTGCTACCAAGGGTGACCATATTTCAGCAAGATGGGGGACTGACAGCCCCCCCAGCAGTCCTTTTGAGACTTCCCATTATAGAGTCCAGCACTACTGTCAAACCTAGCTTCCAGCTTGAGGGATCAAGACTTTGACTCACATACATTAGATAGTC